TAAATGTTTTTATTTGATTAAAAAAATTTAAATTATTATTTGTACAATACGTTAAATTTAAATTTAAAATTTAAAATTACAAAATTAAATTAAAATTATTAAAATTGAATGAGGAAACATGGCATTAGTTGTAAAATTAATTTTAAGGGTTTGCTTAATATTGCCTTTAGATGTATAATATATATTTTTTTTAATTAATTTTATTAAAAATTATAGAAGTTGATTTTTATTTTAATATTATTAACATGGAAATAATTTTAATTAATTAAATGATTAAACTAAAGTCAACATTTACCTATATCTTAAGGTATAAATTAGAAAAACAATAATTTCAATATTTACTTAAAATTAACTAAGGAATTTTTTTTATTTGTGTTCTTATGATATAAGTTAAGGATGCAATAATTACATATTTTGACTATTAATTTACATAAAAAATAAAAATTTAGGTCTTATCAATTATCTAATTAAATTGTTGCCAATGACATTAATATTAAAAATAAAATTTAATTTCATAATTTTCTACACAAATTAATGGTAAAAAGGGTAATATATAGGTTAGAAAAATCCATTAACTAATACTAAAAGATAACCTAGTTTATTCCTATTTGCTCTATCCATCCAACTTTAGTAGATTTTGTTAACTAAGGAATCATAAATAGAGTTTAGGTTCCAATTCCATAAATCATAGATAAAAAATAGATAGTATTGTCTATAATGATAACAAATGAAAGATTTTTTCAAGATTTATATTTGTCCACATGATATAAATGGGTTGGGTGAACTTGAAAATTACATCATTGAATTTGAATAAGGAAACAACTTAATTACATTTAGTTGTATGGTACCAACGAAATCGAGTGCTAACCACTATTTCGTTTTGAATTAATTGATTTACTTGCTGTGGAAGATTTTTTTGTATTAGATAATTTTTGAAAAATAAAATTGACATATTTCACTTTTTTATATTATGAGACTAAATCCTACTACTTCTAGTCCTAGGGTTGGCAGTTGGCACACTTGAAATAGAAAATCTAAGACGTATTTCTCAAATCATTGATCCAGTATTGGATGTAACCTTTCTTCCGGGTAAGATACGTAATATTTACAACGTTTTGGTAGTTAAGGGTCAAAATACCCTCAGGGAACAATTTAATGTGACTTGTGAAGTATAGTAATTATTAGGATATAATCGAGTTTAAGCTGTAGCTATGAGCACTACAGATGGTCTAATGAGAGGAATGGAAGTAATTGACACGAGAGCCCCTCTAAGTGTTCCTAATAATTTAGAATGACCCTAGGAAGAATTTTCAACTTGCTTGGAGAGCCGGTTGATAATTTAGGCCCTATAGAGAATGGCACAAGATCTCCTATTCATGAACCTGCATCCGCTTTAGTACAATTAGAGATAAAATTATCTATTTTTGAAACATAAATTAAAGTAGTAGATCTTTTAGCCCCTTATCGTCATGGAGGAAAAATCAGACTCTTTCAACAACATTGCCAAAGCTCATCGGGGTGTATCCATATTTGATGAAGTCAAGGAACGCACTTGTGAAGGAAATTATCTTTACATGGAAATGAAAAAAATCTGGAGTAATTAATGAACAAAATCTTATGGAATCAGAAGTGACTCTACTCTATAGTCAAATGAATGAATCGTTGGAAGCTTGTATGCGAGTTGGGCCTAATTATGGTGGAATATTTCTAAGATGTTAATAAACAAGACATATTTCTATTTATCGACAATGTCTTTCACTTTGTCCAAGCAGGATCTGAGGTATCCACCTTATTGGGTAGAATTTCTTCCGCGGTGGGTTATCAACCCACCCTTAGTACCGATATGGGTTCTTTACAATTAATTTTATATAAATTTAATTTTAATTAAATATTATAAGTAGTTTAGGTATCAATCTTAATTTTAAAAAATAATTTAAACCTCATTAATTTCGATGTTTATAATTAATTTTATATAAATTTAATTAAAATTAAATATTATAAGTAGTTTAGGTATCAATCTTAATTTTAAAAAATAATTAAAATCACAATTTATATTTAAAAATTAAAATTTCATTTTATTAAATGTTGAT